AGAAACACAGGTGTTGTGTGCTGCGCTGGGCTTGCGTTGCGGTTTTTCCAACCACACCACACCAAGAAATCAAACTCTAGGTTGTGGCCTGACCCGTTGTGCCAACAGATGTGTCAAATTGATAGTTTTTTTGGGCTGCAACAACATTTGTTGTGTCACTGGCCAAAACAACTCAAAGCTCAACATTTCCTTGGCGCTGTTGCACATGATGTGTTGTGCAACGGTCAAGGTGCCACACAACCCAACCTTTACTTTTGTTGTTGAGGTACTTACCGCAACGCAGTGTCTGCTGCTGGGTGTTGTTGTGTGTTTCAGAGCAACACACCAAAAAACATGCTTGCTGTGGCAGAGTGTGTTGCTTGTCGCTCAGAATATGTTTTTGGTTACCTGAAAAACATACTTCTAACTCAAAATGTGTTTTTTGCAAGTTGAAAAACATCAGAACTTGAAGTAGTCGCTGAGGCATGCACCACAACAGTCATATTTGAGGATGTAGGCACTATATTCCTGGCACCTATATTTTTTTCCAATGAAAAAGGATAAAGGTGCCTGAAATCCAGCGCCTACTAGCCAGATTTTCCAAAAATAAATGTAATCTCTGGCGCCTACATCTATTTCTAGGGATCTAGGGACACGAAACCAGCGCCCACACTTTGACAGAGCATCTACCTGGGTGCAGGGTGTGGGCAGTGTCTAGCAACAGTCAATAAATTTGATCAACTGGATTGAAACCAATGGAAATATGATAGAAAATTTGATAGTGAGAAATCATCTGAATTGAGTGGATGGTTTTTGAATAAAGTTAGGAGTTGAAGTTGATGAGTCAATTGGATTTATCTCTTAACTTGGAATTGGGTATAGTTTTAGATTAGGAGCCTCTACATGGGCACTGTGAAACAAATCCACTGGCTTGGCTGAGGTTACAACAGCTGTCTATACAGTAGGCCAAAGGCTCAAACTTTGCAACAATTAAGGAAAAAAACAACAATTGCTGAGTGAGATGAGACCAAGTGATTGAGATTGAAAGTGAGCTGGATTACCGTAGCCCCACTTCTTTTGTTAGTTAATTTTTAAGGAAACAACTTGGGCCACACTCATCTTGGCTACGGCCACACTTCACGTGACTTGGCTACACATATGTACATGTATTTTGTATTCAGAATTTTAGTAGTACAAACCACACTCCATGTAACTGTGCATTTGCTTTTCGCCGGTAATCAAAGGATTGAGAAACAAGCAGGAAGAGCAAGGTGGAAAAGGGATGATAAAAATGTAATTGTTGAACAGTCATGTTTGATCGGGTTGGATCATGATTGCTTGATGCATTGTATATTGAGTTGTTTACAATGAATTGTTTCCGTGATGCAAGACAGTAGATAACAAGAGACCTTGAGGAAGGTTATTGGAAAGTCAGTTTGAGTTGGATGGTACAGGAGTGGGGTACATAGGGAATCAAATGCTTAGTCAAGACCATTGATCAGTTTGCCGAGTTTCTCGCATCACCCAAGGATTTCTCAGGAATAGAAGACTGTAAGGATTTAGACTTGATCAAAGTGATCATATTATGTGAAGGAGGCTACAGCAAGCCTAGTGATACACAAGTTCATACCTCGACTAAGTAGTTGGTAAACAGTAAAATCAAGCTTGGGGTCGATTTGCAAACTCCTCCAGTTTAAGTCGATGGCGACTGTGAGCATGATTGAGCATTATTACGCCGATGAACTTCCGGATCAGATTCTTCAAGAGTTTTTAATTGTTGTTCAAGCATTTCAGCTTTCATGAAATGATCATATCAAGCTTTTATCGTACGTCCAATTAATGTTTTAGAGATGGTGGTTGTGATAATGGCTGTGGTGGTTCTCCCTGGATCTTTGATCTGGAACGTATATTGTAAGGCTAGTAAATACATGTATGCAGTATGTGTAGTAGAGCTGTGACCCGGCCCTGGCCCCGCCCGGCCGACTGTGCCTGCTGGTTTTCTGGAAGCAGACAGTACGTGCCCTGACACACCAAAACCTACTTAAGAAGGGTCATAAAAGCCCTGTGAGCACCCGGGGGGCCCGGTCCGCCCCGGTGCCCGTCATTTTTTTTGCTGAATAATCTAAAAAATTGCCTTTTGAGTTGGGTCCCATGGCTCTCTCCAAGGTTTGAGTAGGCCAATATAAGGTTTATGTACAATTTTATACACCTAGATGTGCAACAAACGCCAGAAATCCCCCCATATGGCCCCTTTTACCTCTTGAGATCAATTCAGGGTGTGCCCTGGCTGGCCCTGAGTGTTTTCTGGATCCCCTCGGGTCTGACCAAGGCCGGGCAAAGCCCCGGGGCCGCCCTGTCATACTCAGGGCCGGGTCACAGCCCTAATGTGTAGCCAAGTCACATGAAGTATGGTGGCTCTAAAGCGCCACTTGAGTCACATCGTCAAAATTGACAAAAACAACAAAAATGACCCAAAATAAGCCCCAGCGAACAGGTGCCGACCCTGGACAATGTCCAGACCCGTGGCAATCCTCAATTCATCGAGGTCTCAGTCCATCTTATCAGCACGTTATTTTGTTGATATTCATCACTTTTGTAAGGATTGAGAGATGAAACAAAGAGGATAATTTTTCAGGGATCTGACAATCTTGTTTAAATAAGTCAGACATTGTCAAAAATGCAGTGAATGTTCAATTTATCGCCGGACATCTAGCAAAATGTGTCTCAATCCGTGATTTCAAGTAAGGTATGCTATGTATATGAGCTGAAAGAGATAAAGCACCCTCAATTTCTAGGAAGACCAGCTGTCTTTCAGAGAAATAGAAGGGAAATAGGAGGATCCCTACAATAAACTCGTCAAAGAAAATCAATTGATTCAATTGACTATATATGCTGTATTCCTATAAAGTTTGTTTTCATTAATCCTATAGCATTATTGTCTTGATCTTGGAGTTCATCATGCTTCAACAACTTTAACTATTGTTTTCCTCAAGTACTCCGCTGAAGTCGATGCAGAAAATTTGGTGATGAGAAGGCAAAGGAGAATCTGATGATTTGGCCAAGCAGGGTCGGCCAGGGTCGGCACCTGTTCACCGGGGCTTATTTTGGGTCATTTTTGTTGCTTTTGTCAATTTTGACAAAGTGACTCAAGTGGCGCTTTAGAGCCACCGTACTTCATGTGACTTGGCTACACATTAGGGCTGTGACCCGGCCCTGAGTATGTTAAGTTTGCTTTAGAGCCACCTTACGTGAAGTGTGGCTGTAGCAAAGATGAGTGTGGCCCGAGTCGTTTCCAATTGTTAATGGTAAATACTCGTAGATGACGGGCAAGTCTTGGGTAACATATCACAGACATTTCACAGATCAAATGTTCTCTAGTGGGTCTTCTTTTTAATCAGCAGCTTCACTTCCTCACATAGGCTTGTATCTTCATCTGGCACTCGCCCAGGGCTAATATAATTGGAGTCTCCTGAGTCCTGGGGCGGGCGACAAACTCTTAAATCAGGTTTTGTTACCTAGGACTCTGATCTCTACATCTCACAAGAGGGAACCTTGGTATCCAATTTGTCTTCCCTTCCAAGCAGGTTTTGAGACCCCACAGGCGCATTCAACAATAATAAAGAATGCAAGGATCCCTGGAGGTATCTTCACACTGAAGATGTGAGTGTTGTAGGGTGGATTTATCATGCCCAGAATGATGTTGAACAACTCTGATTTATACAGACTGTTCAGACCCCGATGATTTTTCGCACGGAGCCAGCTACAACCCTCTACCCTCACTTTGCTATTTATGCCGATGGGGGTGTCAGTTCACTCCTCAGCCTTCCATTTTGGTCCTCTTGGCGTGAGGGTGTCTGCTGCCCGTCGCAGAAAAATCCTCAAAATTCGGCTGTGTACAATCTGAGCGTACACTTGCAGCTGGAGTTTATGTCTAGAGTATAAGGAAAAGTTTCCACGAGTAAATATGTTTCTACGTCTCGCATGATCATCTTGGATTGAAACACAGTTCCTGATTTCTCTCGTACGATTGATTGACAAAAACCATCTACACATAAGTCTAACTCGACATCCAAGATTTTATTGTCGACGTTCGATTGTGATATGTACTCACACTCCATAGTTTTGAGCACGGGCTTCGGAAATACATATCCCTACAAGACATAAAATAGATGCCCTCAAAAAGTCTTCACGGGATGCACATGTGTCTCGCTGTGATGCGGTTAGTTATCGCAGGGACGCTGACGCTCATAAACTTCTGGCCCGACCAAAATGTCGCGTCAAATTGTCCTCCTCAAATCTCGCCGTACTTTCCATATAGCCGAAACCATGCGACTGCTGCCGTGCTCCAAGCGTGATGAGAAGCTCCGTCTGACTTTTGCCTCTGGTGGACAAATCCATGAACAGATCAGCTATGCTCTGCAGAGTAGAACGCTACCATAACACAGAGCACCCTCAGGCTCGGATCTGAGGACCTTTGTACGTACATTCGAGGTGAGATGGGCAGAGTTGGGGAGGGTGGAATTTTTCAGCGACCGTCGGTGACATTTTGAAGGCTAGGCCGTAGACTCACATCCACAGGGTCGGGAAAGGCCTCCACAAAGCGTATGAGCAAAGCAAAAAAAAGAAGTAACACAAGACAGGTATAAAATGACTCATCTTTCAACAGTCTCCCGGTCATCAAAACCCATCCACTTTCATTTCCAGCTTTCGCTTCTTACACCTTCAGTGTCCCCAAATCCTTGAGGCAAAATCATAACTGTCAGTCTCGATCCTTCTACTCTCAGATTAAGCCCGTTGGCACTGATTCCCCTTGCTCTTCAGTTCCTTTCAGACCTCCAGAATGTTTCTCAATACTAAGTTCATCAGAATTGCTTGTGTTGTCGTCTTCGCGCTTGCAGGTAACGAATGATATCCTTTGTTGCCTTCGATTTGAAGTTGCATTATAATTATCCATAACTAACTCACTTGGGACATCTCCACCGGTGGACATCTCACCGTAGCGGGAGTGGTGGATCAAACAAATGGCTCACCTCTTGACGTCGCTAATAAACGGTGAGTGTCTAATCCTCCTTCCGAGTTCGCTCAGTCACCTGCCTCTGAAGCTGAGACCCTGACGTGCTATCCGAAATTCCTCACGCGACTCAGCTCGAATGCGATAGCGGATGGTGCTGGTGCGGTGGCCTTGGAAGCCCGCCACGAGAAGCTGGTGAGTCAATACAGGAGATATTGAATATTCCTAGCTCGAACAACGCGATCTGACCTTCAGACGAGTAGGATGCCGTGATCGACTGTGACTGTGACGACTCCGACGAGTCGAAGCATCAACACGATCATCCTCATCACCCGAAGCACAAGCACGATCATCCTCACCACCCGAAGCACAAGCACCATGATCCTCACCACCCGAAGCACAAGCACCATGATCCTCACCACCCCAAGCACGGCCACGATCACCCAAAACATCCACACGACTCTGATCCAACTCCTGACCCGTCACCCAAGTACCCGGGCCCTCCGAAATCTCCACCTCACGACCCTACCCCAGCTCCTCCTAAGCCTAAACCATATCCCAGCCCACAACCTCCCAAGGATCCTTCTCCACCATCCGGATGTTCCACGCCACAGGATGACTCTTCTACTTCTAGCGATCCTTTGATTGTAGTTTCTGGTCAAGTCTCTGCTGGTTACTCTAAATAGATCAGGGCATGTAAAGATTTATGGCCATGAACTGTAGGCTTTTCTTTGTCGCTTTTGTGGGCTTTTGTAGTCAAGTGAGACTTCTGTTTGTCGCACCTGATAATGGATGATCAAGCACTAGTTGCGATTTGAGGTTCATAACGAAACGAGTGTGTTTTTGTTGTTTAGTCCGCCCAATGTGCACCTCGAGCTTTCTCAGCTTCTATGATTGGAAAAGTGAATGATAGATGTGGACCTCATCATTTTCGACAGTTGTGCTTGACCCCGATGACAAGATGGACTCTCAGTCTTGGAGTCAATTGTACGGCGAGTGCATAAGAGTTATAATTGAAGTTTATAAGAGACAAAGTCTACGCCATTCATCTATTTCACCTTTTTCGAGTGACCCGGACCCGTAATGAAGGAGCAACCTTTGTACACCTATTCCATAGCTAGTGGATGTAAAGGACCGTCAGAGTCATAAGAGATTGATGATCCGGATAGCCAGCGCTTCGTCTTCATCGCTAGCTCAGCCTAGCTAAGCTTATCATCAAAACTACAAACAGACCGCGGCCGTGTTCCACCCAAAGCGATGCATGAAATTTATGTTGACCTGTACAAACTTTCGATTGAAACACGGTGATCTAACGAAGTCATGAGGCCTGGCACAAAAGGTCAAGACTGCGCTCAATCAGCTCATCTGTACCACCTTGCTTTGCACCGGCCTCGCCTTCAGAGATCTTGTCCAGGAGCTGATTGAGTCCGCCTCTTGAGGCACTCTTTATAAAAAGACCTTCAGCGGGTGATGAAACATTTACCAGACTTTTGTCTGGCTTGTCTCAACTTCCGAGATTTTTCGCAAAGTGTACGGTATCGCTTGACTTGAACTTCGGTTCGGAGCTGTGTGAGTTCCGACATGTTTTCAAGATCATCCAATTGAATTACACTTTCATACCACACACTGAAATTGAATTATTGACCTCTCAATGGTTGCTACTTAAAAGCTTTCATTCTTATCTTAATTCAAGCAGCCTTTCTATATATTGGCTAAAAAAGAGTAGGTGTGATTTCCTCACAAGAATTATAAAATGTGTCGTTGGTCCGAGTTGCATTTTTGACGCAATTGAAATGTTTCTGACGCATTCGTTGGATCTTGTTGAATTTTGGCTGCAGATCAACCCAACGCCTCTGGCCAAATTGATTGCCTGACCCTCAAGTCATGATCTGTTGAACTATCAATCTTCTGCTCAATGTCGAATATTACTGCCTACTTCTGCAACCAGGATGCTTCCGATTCGCCTCGCCCAAGCAACTCCAACTTTACATCAGAAGAAGCTTTCAAAGCGGGAAGAGAGGAGGCCAGATGTCAGAGTAGGTCTAAAGCTGCTTATGCCTATTTAAGGGCGCACTTTGGCTGCGTGACGCACAAACCAGTGGTGGATGACATAGCATGCTGACTATTTTTTATCCTTGTCCTCTGACGTTGATTTCTGCTGTTAAATCTGGCTTGTGAACAAACCAGCGACATGGTCAAATATACAATCACAGCAACCGAGTCTCAACACATCTGATGTAATATCTGTATGTGCATCAATCCCTAATAAAAGGAACTTGTCTGCTCAAGATCCAACAACATGCAAAGTCGACACCGAGATACATCACTGGACGCAGCCGTCTCTCCCAACGAGGGATTCCAGTTTATCTTCAGGTCATTCTTTATTCAATCCATGGAGTCCCAATCCGCCAATAGACTCCAACAAATTTTCATCCCTAACTGATCTGACAGTCAGTCCCAAAGAAGCATTTCTAGATTATGATAATGTCTCCAATAGATTGGAAGAAGAGGCTATCCGAAGAGCCAGTCTGAGCAATACTTCTGGAATGGCCAATCCCACCACAACCGATCCCCCGACACCACTTCATGGGACTTCATATTTCCCTGAATCAAATTTGTCCCGCTCTCCCTTACCATCTTCCAAAAAATGCTACAGTGAAAGTAGCTCCAAGTTGCAGCGAAAAGGTAGTATCACGACTCATTCTAAACAGGCATCTATCGAAACAGCAGCTTCATTCGACCTTCCTCCGCACTGCGTACCTAAAAATGCTATCCGATGGATACCTGTATCCTCATCTTCCAGGCCCAGTCTCATAGGAGGTAACGAGGCACGTACCGAAGGTGGACGCACCAAGTTTACCGAAGACCAAGATGATCAAGTTTTATCTTCAATTGGTACCAGGCAATCGAAAAAGGGCGAAAGCAGCCTGCCTATCGAACCACTCAACCTTCAGTGCGACACCTCTCAGTCTCCGAAATACCCCCTAACTGCGTATGCGACGCCCAGCCTTCCTTATATGTTGACTAATTGCGCCGATGGCTTTTCATCAACATCAGAAGAAGACCTGACTAGGCCTCCATCACCAAATGTTCAAATATTGGATCAAGGCTCTGATAAATGTCATGGCGATGATCATTCAATTTTACTTCATCCTCATCCCGAGACTCTTCAAATCCCGGAAACGCAAAGCCAAGTATTTGCTACTCCTTTACTTGAAAGTAAGAACCAAGATGGGGATTTGATCCTAAGTCAGCTACTTCTTCCAGAAGACGAGAGCGATGCAGTTAAACAAGATCCTTGCCATAGAGCGGACACAAATCAAAAAGTCGAGGTCATTCTGGAGGAACAACCTGGACAGAAAATCGAATTCGATGAAACTATCAGTGATGATATATTACCTAGCCAAACTCATGTTGTATCATCTCATCTTGAGTCAATGAAGAGCTACGCAGAAGTCAGTTCCGGTGATAGCACCAAGCACAAGAATTCGGACCAGAAGGAATCAAAACGTGATCAGAATCTCCGTGACGAGGTGACCAAAGGGAAAAACTATGTGGTAGCATCAAGTTCTACTACCTCACAAAAGAGAAAAGGACCGGCAAGATCTGCTCGAAAGACATCATTACGAGACAGAAAATTTTTAAATGAAGAGTATTCAGACTCTTTGTCTAATCACGAATATGAAGATACTATTACAACTTCAAAAAGTAGTAAAGATTTTGGAAGGGTCAGTTCACATTCATTTTTAAAGAGTAAACAAGAAGATGTCGATGACTCTTCAAGCATAGAGGAACAAGATTTTGATATTAATGCCAAGAGAAGAAATTCCGGCTTTCGCGAGGAGTCTGATCATAGAGCTACTCGCCGTGGAATGATTTCTAGTAGACTCGAAGAAAAAGTAGTATCCAGAACAAATGGTAAATCAGGCGGTGTCAAAACCCCAAATAGACATGGACGGACCAGAAATTCCTCAGCACCAACAAGATCTGCAAGAGTTCAATCGACTTACAAGATGGATCAAGCACCATCAGATGGAATAAGATGCGAGCATATAGACGAAATAAGTGGTATAATATGTAATACAGTCTTCAGAAGACCATACGATTTAGCTCGACATAAAGAAACCATTCATGATTTAGAAGGATCTGGTAGTGGTAGAAAACCACAATGGATTTGCAAGGAATGTGAAGGATGCTTCAGTCGAAAAGATGCTTTGATAAGGTATCTTAAAAATTTATTACATTTATATGTCCTTTATTGATAGAGATTATCATATTGACAATCCTTCCCGTTACGGTTTCTTACCCGTAGACACTGTAGGATTAGGAATCATCATTCATCAGGTTAGCAAGAAATTGAAATTGTTTGGCTTATGCCGTGTTCTCCAAGAAAGACTCGACTGCGAGTGACCGTCATGCAAGATGTAGAAATTTTCTTCATTATGTTTCTTCTAAGATGTATCTCATCAATTCAAGGAATACAAGTCCAAAAAAGCAAAGATGTAAAAAAATAAATCATAAAATAGTCATTGAATACGAGTTTTGTTTGTATCTAAATTTGTAAAGTTAGAAAATTTCATTGATCATTTAACAAGAATATCTATTTATTTCTCAGTAAATCTCTACTCTGTTCCAAGTTTTTGTGAATCAATTACATAAGTTTAAGATATTTTTGATTGCTTTTTGACCTATCTCATCATATCAGATGTCAATACATTTCTAAAGGCTTCCATTCAATCTTCATCAATTTGTTTCCATTCTCAAACTTGAAGCTGAATCCTAAACATGAAAAATAATTGTCTCATCAATCTAACAATAAAGGAATGTTAGGTTTTGGAGACACAAAAAAATCAATATGGGGTCTTTAATGAAAACATCTGTTGTGTTTAGGGTGATCATAATGATGTTGTGATTGAAATTTATCAACAATTGTAAGTGTTCGAAGTTGATTACAGTCGTCTCTGACATAACCCATCTGTGCTGTAAGCCATACTCCATCAAAACTCATACAAATCTGGCCATCTGCAGAAAAATTGCAGGGAAAGTGGGTGCATAACCCATAACTTTGTAGTACCCCATAACCCATAAGGTTTTTGAGGGAAACCAGAGTTCATAACCCATAAAAGTCAGGGGTCATTTGAAAAACTGTAAACATAAATATTTATAGACAAACTCTATTGATACTAACACTATTCAACCTTGTTTAGCTTTCACACACCGCACATCACAAACTCATTTATATTATACTTCCTCCAAACTGTCCAAATACATTGTGGCCAATATTGAGGAAGATTAGGGAAGATTTCAAGAAATTTGAAAATATGCAACAAGAAGCAAATGAAAAAGAATCTATAGTAGGAAATATACCTCCACCACCACGACAAAGCCTCAGATATCATGCTATCTTACTTGGAAAGTGACAATGCACAAGAAGTGCAGGGGTATGAAAGGGCCACCCGAGCCTCTGTTAAACACTGCCAATCCACATGTTAGAGCTGCAAAGCAGTGCAGCAGACTCTTTCTGATATGTTTTTTAAGGTTTCCCAAGAAGTCAATTTTTTGTTTTGTACAATCTTTGTCATAACCCATATTTTGTCTGCAAATATTTAATTATGGCTTTTGAAAGAGATTGAGGTAACCTATACTCTAGCAAAACCCATACTTTTGGGTTAGGTATGACTTAAGCTGTAATTCTCAGAGGGGTATGAGAATTCTCAGCAAAAATACGAAAATCGGTTCTACCCCATTTGTGTGTGTCAGAGTGGGAACCCATGTTTCAAATCTTGCAGCACACATGATATCCATGACATATTGGACCTGAACATATGACAGGTATTTAGTTGAGGTCTTAGCAGGCCCCCGGATAGCTCCTATGAAGCATACCAACAAAAAAACCTCAAAATTCAGTTATTCATACCTGAATTCAAGGGTTTGGGGGGCCGAGAATACCTCTTTTGTAGGTAACATTTGTGGAAAAAATCACAAAAAAATGCCAAAAAATTCTTTGCAAGTCCCTAAAATGCAAAACTAGCCTAGGAAAAGCTAAGAAATTTTGGATTAATTCCTCCGAGGTCGCTATGATCAATTCCAACGGGGTCAAAAAATACCTTTTTTGTCCCTAACATCAAGAAATTCCCAAACCAAAAAGATACCTTTTTGGTCAGTACCTTCAATAGGAGCTATCCGGGGGCCTGTCTTAGCTGGTCTTAGTCATTCCTGTCCCCAAAGAGCTGAGATTAGTACCTTGCTAGGTTCTTGGATTTAGGAAAAAGCAAGGGGGTCAATGTTTGATAATTCATACTGGGTCCCAGGACCATTGTGATTTGCCTTTACCGGTACTGCATTTAGCACCTCATATCGGTTCAAGGATAAAATTCTTCCTCCAAGCTGACCTTCAGGAAGATAATTGCGAGTTGGCTATAAGGCTGAGGGAAAGTACTAGTTAGTAACTAGTAAGACAATTAGTCTTAGTGACCAATAGAGCAAGCAATAGCAAACCTGAGGGAAAGTACTAGTTAGTAACTAGTAAGACAATTAGTCTTAGTGACCGATAGAGCAAGCAATAGCAAACCTGCTCGAATGAAAGAGTAGAAATCGGTAAGATTTATATTCATCAACACAAGAGCAGCAAAACAATAAGTAAGAACAAAATATTAACCTGAGGGAAAGTACTAGTTAGTAACTAGTAAGACAATTAGTCTTAGTGACCGATAGAGCAAGCAATAGCGAACCTGCTCGAATGAAAGAGTAGAAATCGGTGAAGAAGAAAATAGAAAGTAGACGAAAGACAACGACTATTTATACCGATTAGAAACTCTCGAGTACGGTCACAAGTTACATCATAACACAGCAAGATGATATCATAAATGAGATATGATGTAATGAGTATAAGATGAGAAACGAATAAGAAAAAGGATCAACTATGATATTAGATAACCCAAACAATAATAGAAGACTCTTATACTTCAATTAAGATTGGGCATGTACATATAGTTTTTTATGTTACACCAAATTTTTCTCAGCTAACACGTGAAAAAATGTGTCCATGTCATATTTGTTATTATGATAAAAAAACTGGTGTTTGAAATCAGTTGGCTCAAGACAGGAAGAGAGCTATTCATCACAACTACTTCGAAGTCAATGCTAGTCACATAGCTTCATTCCATTTTAATTCACATAAATAAAGCAATCATAGTTAGAGTTGAATCAAAAGTATTTTTTTCTAGATATCAAACAAGATTAAAGAAGGATAAACATATGTGAGGAAAAAAATTTATGACTATTAATGTCCTGATACCAGATTATAAAATTGACGTAAACCAAACCTACGCTGCTCTTATCCTAAATCAAGCTGGTGTTGCAAACCTTTTTCCACCTGTGAATAAAGCACCGCGGCGGCACCGAAGCACAAGTTGGCACACCAAAATAACTCCGCAACCTCCATAGGTGAAATCTACCAAGGATCCCTTCCCTACTCGCAATCACAATAATCATAGGAATAATCATCATACCCTATAGCATCACAATCCAACTGAATTCCATATTCCCCACATAAGTCGATTAAATTTTGAATATCTTTACAAGAGAAGGCATTACATTGATCTGTGATTTGAATCTTCTTTAATTTAGGCCAAGGTTGTTCTCGGATGATTGTTTCTAGGTCCCGAAACTTAAACATATAATCCGGAGTATCACCTACCAAAAATGCTGTGATACTATTTGAATGTTGAAAATCTCTCAAGATGTTCATGGCATGATAACCCGAGACTTCTAACTTAGAAAGCTTAGATAATTCGACTGGAACTTGACCATTCTCGTGACGATCATTGGGTCCGCTTGCTAATCGAAGGGTGGTTAAGGTCGATTCAAAAGGTTTGATGATTCTATATAAAGCTGATAGGGAGCCTGTTTCACAATGTTCTAATGTTAATTTATGTAAAGAACTTTTCCAATCTAATTGAATCCAATTCGCGTTTACACATTCTGCCCTTATTAAATGTAATTGAATAAGTTGTTTGAGTGAAGCAAGATGAAGTCCAAGTGGAGATGGACAAGGCTGATGATCCTTTTGATTTTGAAAACAATTTGGATGAATAGCCATGATCCCGGAACAAGTAAAACTTTGAAGTTGTTCAAGATTTGAAATGATATCTACTACGAAAGTTTCTGTGTAAGGATTTCGCGTCACAGGAGATGATATTGAAAGATGAGTAAGTGAAGTAAGTTGTGATATTGGTTGAATGGAAAAGTTTGGGATATGATCCTCAAGTGTACTTGAAACTCTAGCAGGTCTAAAGTGTTCTATATCAAGATCGATATCGAGCTCGAGTAGATGTGGACAAGATTCTAAGATTTTGAGTAAAAGTATGTATCTGGACTTAAACTCTGGATCCCATTTTCGTCTTCATATGGATTAATATCCCATAAAGCTTCAGACTTTTGTATCTCTGATTCAGGAACTCTGGAAGAGATCTTTTTAACGTAAATTGAATGTTTTGGAATGATTTGTTTGAGTATGTTCTTCATGCCATTCACCGTGAAGTTTTGAAAATCAAGAACCTGGAATGCAAGATCAAATTTTGATTCTTCAATTATTGATCAACCATGACACGTAGATTTTGAGGAGGGAAATCAAATCACCCCATAGAGATAAGGACGACAGTTTTGGTAGTATGAGCGATTCACTGAGGAAAGCAATCGGATATCCTTGAAGGGAAGATTTCGACCTTTGTAACAATATAAATTATGTAGTTATTAGTCATCAAAATCCATGGAAATGTGTGATATATGAAGTAGAAGTAAGAAACGCAATAGTTTTCCAATTTGGTCAAGAGGAAAATATTTAAGCTGCTGAGGAATCAGGATGTAGATGTGGATGGGGCTGATAGAGTGGTGAAAGAACTACCAACTTCTTCGAGCAATTTCACTTTTACTGTAAGAATAGTAATCTCGAGTCATTTTTTTTTGTTATTCTTTTTTGATGATCCCTTGAATTATGGTTCTCAAACCTATGCAAAAATTTGTGCAAGTTTCGAGCAACTTCTGTGCAAGACATGAATAGAACTTGCACGGAACTTGCACGGAACTTGCACGTCGGTCTCGCACGGTTTTCGTACCAGTTGGAACAAAATAGCTGGGGTCGTCAAAAAATTTAATGCGCAAGATTGGTGCAAGAAATCTTGCACGGATCTTGCACGTCGGTCTTGCACAGTTCTTGCACAGGTTTGAGAACCATAAATGAAATAAAAAATTTGTTAATTTTCTTCTCGCTCGCTCAATACATATGTAATTCACGACTGGTCAAATGACCCTTTGCCCAAAATCGAGAATTACAACGGTCGCACTGGGCTACCGGAGTCTCGTGGTGGGCGCGAGGTTTGGATTTAGGGCGCGCCCAGCGCGCCTTTTAAATCTTTTCAAAGGCGCGCCTATAGTGGGGGCGTCAAGGGCGCGCCTTTTGAGTATGTAAAATCGAAAAAAATGGAAAAAAAACTAAAAAAAATCAAAAAAAATCAAAAAGGAACAAAAAAACTGTCAAAAGTGTTGCAAGGGGAAGCCTGAGGATAAATTCTTGCAGATATTTATTACTTGGATGGAGAACAATGGAAATTTTCAAAATTGAATATTGTAACTTTACAATACTGGCATTGAGCAAGCCTGCGGTTTTTGGTGCCGTGTTGATTTTTTCGACATAAGGGAACCTTTCCATCAGTTTCCAAAGTTTACAGTTGGTGAGATCCACTCAGATGGTGTCTCGGTATTGTCCTTTGGCATGAATGGAGGTGGTGGGGTGTAAGAAAACAGCGAGAAAGCCCGAAAACGGCAGAACAGGCTGAAAGGGCGCGCCCACCCCATATTTCAACTTTTGGGGCGCGCCCTCACGTCTACGCCCGGGCGCGCCTCAAAGGCGCGCTTTTCACGCCACGCCCACCACGAGATACCGGAGGTCTTACTGGCCTGCGGTTCCTGCACCCAGACCCTATTGAATGCATTTCTGCAATTCAATCAGGTATCTCAGCGTCGCGCGGAACCTAAAGCAAGGATATTGCGCCGATGTCCTCGCTCTCATCCGCGCGACCTCCTCTGCAAGGATAATCAGCGGAGATCGGCTGGATCTCCGTTGGATGTTGCGAGACAGGACATCCGACGGATGTCCTGATTGGACCGTAGTGTAAAGCCTTGTAAAGCTAGAGAGTGTGCATTGAAATGAAAAAATTGTGATCCTCAAATATCAAAGGAGCTTTATGCAAGCCTAATCATAGAGTGAATTTAGCTTCAAGAGCCTATAGTGGGTAGTGTCAAAGCCTTTGATTTCAGGCGGGATAATCCAGTTTTTCAAAATCAATGTTCTCACTCCAATCTCAACTTTTTGAGCATTTGAAAGCAGAATCATGATCCTTAACCCGGTCGCTTCCCATGTATAGCTTTTTTCAAAATCCGATGATGACTTTATTCTATTGTATTTATTTTATTTATATTTTTTTGAAAATCCAAAGTTCTTGCATGAGATTTGACACTGAGGGGAACAAGCCCTCATTTGAAATTCGATCCCGCGGGGTCATTTTCATTTTTCAGGGCATCTACCCCGTCTGAAATCCCAAAGGCTTTGACACTACCCACTATATTTAGAACATCAAAGCAGCTATATTAGAGCCTGATTATAAAGTGGATGTAAATTAGTCTTATCAAGATGATTCCTGGCCCCATCTCTTGAAACAAACCTGAGCCTTGAGATTTATTGGAGTGAAGGAGGCGCGGCAATCACTCATGAATCTCAAAGCATGAGAGAAGGAACTCTTGGATGGAGCAGAAGTGGTAGAAACCACAAGCATTTCCATTCCATTGCCATGTGTCCAAGTATGGGCCAGTGGTGTTGATTACCTTTCCAGCAGGTGAGGGGTCAAGTCTCTCTGTCTTCTTGGGGTGCACTCAGATTCTATGTGACTTCATGTTTGACCAGGCGGTCTTGCTGCACTTGATAAAGGAGGGCAATCGTTGTCAATGGTGTCCTCTTTGGATTCAACACTTTGACTTTGGGATAAGTGGGGGTTTAAACATGCCAGCCCAAATGGTGAACTAGTGACTCCAAATTCAAGCTTTTGTTTGAATTGAGTTTGAGACAAGGGTCAAGGATTGCTGAACAGGTGTAAACAGAATTCTCCTGGGCTAACTCTTGGAAATAGTGAACAATCTTTTTCATCATATGCATGACTGCCACTCTCAACTAATTGTATTGAGAGCTCTGCCAAGCCTGAAATTAGCAACACAAATGCAGCAGTGAAGGCTTGGGAACAAGGGAATTTGCGACAGATACCCATAAAATAGGCTTACTGACTCAAGCCCTTCAACACACCACTGGTAGTTGAGCATAACATAAGCAAAAGTGGGGCACTCATGACCCTCAATAAATTAAGTGACTGTAGCAAGCAGGGGTAAAACATGATAATGGTTCCAACTAACTCTGATTCTCCATTGGTAAAGACATGAGCTTCAAGGGCCAGATCACATTCACAAGTATGGTGTACAGGCTTCTGAAGTTTTAAAAATCATCAAGATAACACCGCAGGAATCAATTAGTTCAAAACCCAATTGAAGAGAGTTGTGGTGACGGGGTTCGCAACTTTCTTCAATCACGGGTTTTGTTTGCCTTAGGTTTGCCTTACGTTTGCTGATTCCCATCAAGTCAGCATATCCTTATATGTACAGATAAATAAAATATCAATCACTCTGCACTCAACAGAATCCTTCCCTACATACAACCAGTCACCCCACGTTCTTTGTCCCTCAGTATGGACAAAAATTGTTACAATCCCCTTTCAACCTTAGACCTTTCATTTGTAGGTACAACTACCTATACATACTATTACTGCTCTCTTACTTGTTTTCAAGCTCTTCTTCCAGACACAGCAGGGATAAAGTCACGGTATAGTTGTTTTGCCAGAGAGTTGTTGTCAGCTTGAGACTAAGAGCAAGGGTAGAACAAACTCTAGTATCACGCTACACGTACTTACAAAATGTATTTTATCGAGCTTGAGGAGTTATTCCTAGATGCTGAGGGAAATTAATTTTCAGTTCTTTGTAAGTAAAAGTCTATAATTGTTTTTTATAGCTGTCTTTGGTGTGGTACGAGAACCACTGCCAGTTTATCTAAAAGTGCACTCACTTTAAGATCTGCCTAGGTGCTTACGAGTGAGCGTAAAATGATCCTGGGTGACGCTTTAGGGTTGATTTGATAAAACAAGTTTTTATCAAAAGATTTCCGAGCCGAGTTTTAGGAACTTTAGTCGAATGATTATTACCAAACGATCATTAACGTCCTATTCAGGATAGCTAGGATAGAAGAAATAGAAAGAAACAGAAGAGAGAAAAAGATCTGAACAGAAGTTTGATAAGAGCGACGAAGAAAGCTTTGAGGTATTTCCTGAGGGCTTCGCTAATCGGACTTCTAAACAGATAGTAAAAATGAAAAGGGTAATTGATCTTCTTTAACAAGAATGGGATAAACTTGTAGAGTTTTTTGTAAAAATAGTGTTAATGGTAAGAGATGAATCCTCTGTTCTTTCGAGGGTAGAGCTGGTTATTCAAGTAACGAGATTTGTTTAGATTGGTGGAAAAGAATCAAATGTCCTGGGTTTTAATCAAGGGTCCAGAGGGTTTGTTACTGAACATCCTTTGGACCAGTCCCTGATGTATAGCAGGGCTGGTCCAGGGTAGACTTTGATATGGCTATTCTGGTTTAATGTTGATTATTGTCCCTGGTTACCTTTAATGACGATAATTTTCTTTTATTGATTAGATAGGAAAAATTTACACTCTTGAGACTCGAGTGTGAGAGGTGTCTAATTTTGTATTTACATATATCAGTTTTTCTATTTTAATTATAATGAGTGTATCGGTATTGTCTGTTAGTACTTTGGAGTGTTTCTTGCGCAGCAAAGAACCTCTCAAGGCTGACAGCTGTGATTATTGGAAAGAAAGGCAAAATAGATTGACTCAGGTCGTTGTTCTCCATACAGTTACATGTACATGAGATTCCGGCTTATGTACCACTGACGTCTGGAAGACGCTGACTCAAGGGTAATCAGCAAACCTAAGGCAAACAAAACCTGTGATTGAAGAAAGTTGCAAACCCGGTCACCACAACTCTCTTCAATCAGGTTTCAAACTGATTGATTCCCGCGGTGTAAGTGTTTGTAAAAGACCAGCAATGAAACACTTCATGCAACACTGCCACAGATACACTACTAGTATCAGTATCTTGTAGTATAGTATCTTTTTTCAAAGTATAGTATCCAGGTACTTGGTATTAGAAACCAGATACAGCTGTTTTCAAAATAAATGTCATGGTGTGAGTTTTTCAAAAAAAAAAAACTCGCAAGCCACGTCAATACAGGCCTGTATTGAACGTGTAGGGGGCAGGGTGTATCCGGTCGGTACCTAGCTTTTGAACCTAGCTTTTGACCCATATCCGATTTGAGATTTGAGAGGCGGTCCAAATGTTTGGTTCCACCATTCAATAACCCACCAGATTTACTCACGACAGCATCATCTCCTCATCAAACAAACCAATTCCACACGTCTCAACCACCGGCGGCGACGGCGTACAATTAGCTTCATTCTGGACAGATCCAATCATCAACGGCATGGGCAAAAATGAATTTTCAATGCGTCGAGACCACATTAGGTCACAAAATCCGGTCGGCAAGCCTCTAGATTGGTCCACAATTCAACCAATCCACTTGACTCTACCACCGGAGGTGAATCCGAACCACTTATTCGCTCCACCTTTCAACTACAGGTCCAAACAACCCACGACGGCATGGGACAATTCTCATTTATTGACGCCTCGAGTCCACATCATGCTTCACACCCCAATCGGAAACCATCCACCATCTTATAGTCCTAGATTTCTTCAAGCACAACTTGACCGCGTCGTGATTCACTATAAAAGGCTGCCCTGTCTCTCAACTTACCGCCGAAATCCCCAAAAAATCACCAGGAATAACTTGTTATTCCTTGACTCTATTCACAAAAGGGCACCAACCAAGAAAATGCCTAACAGAAAAATCTCGTCCGTCCTTATCTTTCTCTCTTCTGCTCAATCTGTGACTTTCTCACTGATGGTCTTTCTCTTATCTATTACAGCAAGCCATCTGATGCGGGTCAAATCGACATCATGAGCCGCACCTTGAGCCGGTCAATCCGAACTCGCAGTCACCAGGCCCTTCTCGATCAAAGTATGGGGAGAAGCATGTGAGTTCTTACCACTGCGTGTGATTGACCCACTAGGATTTTATTGACTTTCTGGTGGTTGTTGTAGGCCATCTTTGACCGGTCATACCCAATCGGTCATCCCGCAACCCACGCCAACAGTACCCACAAGTGTCGGACAATTGGTGGACCCTCCCTCCTATTGCACCCCTAACTTCACTCGGGGTCCAACTCCCTTCCCGGGTTTGGCCAGGACTCCGGGATCTTCGATCTTTGAATTCAACCCTCACATCAGCCCCTTCCTTTCCTCAGCTGGTTCCTCAAACTCAACCTCGTTCAGCAACTTATCCTCTGGAACAACGTCTGATGGTATCCAGAGTTTCCCAAGCTCCCCTTTGAAGAGACCTGCCCCCGTGCCCGATTCCCCTGCTGCTGACATGACCAAAAACAATGGTCAGTTGTTGCTTTATCTAGCTATAGCCATTCAACATCAGCTGACCCATTTTTTATTTTTAGAACTGCCACCTCGATTTGAAGATGAATACAACGAAGGTGACGTGAACAACAACAACGGTAAGTGGTCGTTTTATCAAGATGGTTCAATCAACTCCCTTTATTCAACCTTTGTCATCTATTCCGACTGTATTCTTCTTCTGTCGTCTATTCAAAAGTTGACGACGACGATGGTGAGTCATCAATCCCTTTCATCTCTTTACTACATTTCAACATCAGCTGACAGTCTTCTGATTTTTAGAACTGCCACCTCGATTTGAAGATGAATACCACCATTGTGAGTTACCAATCTCTATCTGTCCAAACCCAACCTCTGACTGATATATTTCTTTAATTTGTTAGATCGCTCCACTCCTGCTTTGGTCATCCCCAGTGCTCCTGTGCTTCCTGGTCAAGCCGCCAACCTCTCACACTACACAAAATATAATATTTTCTGGGCAGAAAATTAAATTATTGATACACAAAAATATTGAGAGGCCAGGAGAAGGGCAATAAATAAATAAAAATATGCATCTTGTTCCCTGCGGTGAGAGCTTCACTCTCCATATTTTTCCATATTTTTACAGTCCGTATTGATTAGTGTACTAACAATAAACCTTCATAATCATCCAATTACAACCTGTAACAAGCACTGAAATTTGGCTCATTAGTGTTTAGAGAAACTTTTGATACCTGAAAACACCTATAAATTTGTCAAATCTGCATCAAAACACTCGATTTTAAGTGCATTAGAAAGCTGAACTCTTTCTCTCAAACTTTCATAAGATCAAAAACTATGTAGCTAGTATGCCAATCATTCTATGGATCTGTATGTACAAAGGTATAAAAAAGGTGATATCTTTTTTAGCAGACCAGCATGCTGTGTGGTCCTATTATGAGCTATTTGGAGGACAATTCCAGCTTACCAATGCACCCAAAATCGAGCGTTTTGGACCGGAATTGAAAAAGTTATGAGTATTTTCAGAAATCAAAAGTTTCTCTAAACACTAATGAGCCAAATTTCAGTGCTTGTTACAGGTTGTGATTGGATGATTGTGGAGGTTTATTGTTAGTACACTTATCAATATGGACTGTAAAAATACGGAAAAATATGCACAGTGAAGTTCTCAACGCGGGGAACAAGATGCATTTTTTTTTCTTTTTTTGCTCTCCTCCTGGCCTCTCAATATTTTTGTGTATCAATAATTTAATTTTCTGCCCAGAAAATATTATCTTTCTTGTAGTGTCACAGACTCCCACCACTTTGGCTCCCGAGTCACCCGATGAAGAACGCAAGTACCAGGTACATTTCAATCTTTGGCAACCTGAGTGCCCTCCTGAACCCGAACCTAAGAAGCAGAAGCGCACAGCCGGTGGCTCACGCCTGAGTCAACGCAAATCGACGAAGCCCAAGTACAAAAATTACGCTCCGAAGGTACCTACCTATATCACTTATTCACCAAAAACCGCCGATTTCGACACCGTCAAGAAACAGCTCTTTGACTCTTGCAATGAACACCTACCGGGTGTTTCCCGAGTCCTTGAGAACTCCTGGGTTGCAGGTGGACTTGCAATCATAGGGTTTGTTACCGGTTCAAACGGGTTCAAAGGTCAGGATAAAGCCTCAATCAAAAAACCCACCTTCTTCGACGACTCCTTCGACCGATTCAACACAGCTTCCTTAAAAGCATCTGCCGGTACGAAGATGGGCTTCCGCATCTCCCACGAGAACCCCTTGGCATCCGAGAACGCACGCAGATCCCTTGCTAGCGCGCTCAAAGACTCTAGGTTTGAGGAAGAATCTGAGGCCTCTGACGGTGAGGAGTCCGTGGCTTCTGATGGGGTCAGTTTTTCACTTTCATGCTTTTTTTTTCTCTCAATGGCTTTTTCAGGGGCACTCGCTGACCCATGAACAAATCAGTCCGCCATTCTTAGCCCAGGTGAACGAAATCTTCGAACGTTGATGCAACGATTCGAACAGGACTTCAAGCGAGGTGAAAATGTCACTTCGGTTCCTAACCCCAAAAATTCTGGGGAATGTTTGCTCCTCAACACAGCCCGCATTCGCACTTGGGCAAACGACTGGGTAGGTTTTTCTCCTCTTGTCTGGGTGTTCACTTGTTTCGTTCGACTTGCATGATTTGTCACTGACCTTGTGCTGATTCTTTGCAGGCTGATGGAGTCCGCGGTGTGGATGAGGTGAATCCCCCCATGAAGCGGCCAGGCTTTCGCTGGATCCCCGTCAGCGACTACGAGGAATAAAAGAATCGTCTCCTAGGTTTGAACCCCGCGAGACCATCAGCTGGCAGTCCAACTGTGACTGGTGGCGCCGTTGTTCATCACAATTATTACGGTCACCCGGCTCTTCCTTTTGCTGCTCCGCCTATTCATGGTGCCTCAATGGCGGCGCAATCAATGCGGTTATCACCTCCTCCTCCTGACACTGTGATCGACTTTGAGAACTTCCTCGTCCAGGCAGGGATTGGACTAGACATGGTCACAACTCGCCAATGTTTGGTTAAGGAAGGTATCAAGGATTTCCTCCGTTTGTTGGACCGAGGTACTTACACTATCGAGGCCTTCCACCAGATGGGAATCCCTTTCGCCCAAGCAGAGGACATTTTCAAGGCCGTTCCAAAGTACAACCATTACCTCAAGTCTCTCTGAGTCGTTTTAGCTTACATGATTCATATATCCCAAAAACTCCCAAAATTATCACACTTTGTTTGTGAAGAATTTGCTCACTTTGTTCAATGTCTATTCATGTCATCTACGTGTTTATTAAAACTACCCCAAAAAATTTCCCTTGGCTTCTTTCTCTCTAACGCCTATCTGCTCGCACAAATTAGATTGAAAACTTAGATATCCCCAAATTGAAATGTCATTTCCTTTGTTTTGTTTGAGCTTTTAATCTCAACGTCTGAATCATGTTCTAGACTTGAGCCGACAAAAGTCCAGACTGGAGCCGACAAAAGTCCAGACTTGAGCCGACAAAAGTTTGTCTTGAACTTTGTCAAAATGTTCACACAGCTTCCCTTAAGCTTTTACAAAAGACTTTGATCGAGCTGTCCAAAGTTGCTCTTGAATCTTGAACTTGGTCAAAATGTTCCAAGTGACACACACCTTCCTTTAAGCTTGTACCAAATTTGTTGAGCGGTCAAAAGTTCCTCTTCAAGTTTGTCAAAAGGTCTCAACTGAGACACCTTCCCAAACTCTTGCGATTAAAAATGTCACTTGTGAGCGTCAAAGTGATATTGATCATCTTCACATATGATATGTGATATTGTCATATTGTCATCAGGATAAGGTAAAACAAGGCCAAGTCTTTCTTACATTTCACTTTAGATAGGACAAGATTTCGGACTCAAATCAAAGTACAAAAAAAAACTACATCCAATAGCCGCACACGCTGTATAAACGATGCATAAGACTGCCAGAGAAAATGTTCCAGGTAGAGTCCATAATCACATTGATCTTCTCTGCATTGGGGGCTTCGTTGACACATTGGGTTTGTCAAAAGAACGATTTGAGCACACTAAATGCTTTCTCAATCGGATTGAGGTCAGGTGAGTAAGGAGGTAGGTATATCACACGGATTCCTCTTTCTTCAGCTAGCTCGGCGATCCTGCCGCCCTTGTGAATCCGGGCATTGTCCATGACCAACACAGAGTTCGCTTGGGGATAGGGGTTCATCACTGGGAACTATCAGCAAGTTTGGGTCAGCAAGGCAGGTTCCGAGAGGTGAGGTCTTGAACCGCCACTTACCAGTCGATGTTTGAGAAACCCTTCGAAATCGCAACGAAAGTAGCTGCCCTCCTGGCAATCCAGCGCCAAGATACCACCCCGGAAGATAGCCGGTAAAAGTGAATATCGTTTGCCAGCCTGGCTCCATGGCACTCTCTTCGTACGTTGACCCTTGGTCGCGCGGCCGAATTGTCTTTTGAGGAAGCGCTCCTGGATCGCGCACTCATCTGTAGTCGAAAACATTAGCTGAGACGCCCAAAAGAAAGCAAAACCTAGGCAGTGTATGACATACCTAAAAAAACTAGCATGTTAGGTGTCAAAGCTCCGATAGCGTGTAGATAACGGGCCCGCTTGGTGGTGCTTTGCGCAGGGTGCACATTTCGAGCTTTTTTGAGAGAAAGGTTGAGTTGAAGCTTGAGGTCTCGGGCAACAGTCGGTAGAGATATCCATTCGCCGGTTCGCCGGTAGATGGCAAGTCGATACTCGTCTAAGTATAGACCAGGATTGCCATCCAAGAGCTCGAGCATAAAGTCGCGATCTTCATCTGTTAACCTTAAATTTCTTCCCAATTTTTCGTAATCTTCAGGATTACGAACAATAGATGCCGTTCTTTGGTATAGCGCGTGCCATCTTGAGATCGTGCGGGGGCTAACGGGTGACTTCAGAAGGTCTCGCACCTGCGCGATGGTTTTGCCTGATCGAAGGTGCTGGATGGCCAAGACTTTGATGCTGGCTTTGTATTTTGTGCCTCGAACCCTTGGAAGTCGAGCCATTCTGGAAGTTCAAACAAGTCAGTGTCAGGTGGTTATGAGTTGTGAAACAGGGTGGAAACGTACCTAGCAGAGATTGGACCACGCTGAGCTGACTGTGGTGGGATATGGTAGAGGTGGAGTGAAAAATGGCCAACGGCCAATGGGATTTGTGGATGGGAGACGGTGGATACTGGAGTGAAAAAAAAATCGACGAGGCGGGATCGGAATGAGGAGCTCATGGTGATCGGTTCGGGGTTTCACCAAAACTCGTTTTTGGTCACAGTTTGGGGAAGCTCGGGGAGGCCTGTATTGGCTGTATTTGTCGTGGCTTGCGAGTTTTTTTTTTTTTGAAAAACTCGCACCATGACATTTATTTTGAAAACAGCTGTACTATACTCCCAGGTGCTCAAAGACAGTATCTCAAAATCGAATACTGGTATCTGATACTCTCCCAAATGTGGATACTAAATATACTAGTGGGTATCTGCAGATACCTGAGGATACCCGCATCCAAAGTATCCACAGGAGATACTATACTGGACCCTGAGGGGTTTAGGCATCCTGGTTTGGGATACTGTATCCAGTAAAGTATCTTTTTAGGATACTATACTGATACTTTTTTTTGCAGTATTGCAAATGCAATAATATACCAGGTATCCCCAATACTATACTAGTAATATATAGTACCTGTGGAAGTTCATGGACTAAACCAACCCTGAGAGTCAAAGTGTTACAGACGGTTATGCTGTTGTTGAGGGTCTCAATCAAGCTGGCTGCCGTGCTTGCCTGATTTATGGAGGGCACATATTTAACTGAGTATGCTAGAGACCTTGGAATGCGGAGTTGGCTCAATGAGCAAGGGAGCAGGAGGTTGTGGAATGGTCAGATTGAGGGAATTGACCAAGGAAGGAGTGGTCTTTTAATTAAAAGACCACCAGATTGAGAAAATGAGCAACACATCCATGAAGGTGTTTGGACACATTGAAGTGGAAGAGAATTGTCTGGAGCGCTTGACCCATGACAGTGTTGTTGGAGGTGTCATTAGCAGTGATGCAGTAGAGACAGTTGGAAATGTTAAAAGTGTCCAGCAAGTGTTTCAGGAGGGTAGCCAAGTTTTTGCCAATGTGAGGGGCATCAATTGTCTTCAAAACCAGGGTTGTGTGGCGCATTTTGAGATCATTTGGAATCCAATCCACAGTGACTCCCAAAAGACTATGTTGCCGGTGTAGTATTTGAAGCACCACAAGGGCGTTACAGTACCTAAGAAGGGATCATCTACGTGTATGTAACAGGTAGAAGTTGCCTAAGGCTGCCTTCTTGAAGAAAATCAACTCTGGGGCACCAGTTGACCGCCTTCTCATCACAGAGAAATGAATAAAGCACCAGAGAAAAGTATCTTGGGGTTTTAAAAACCGCGGATTTAACTCAAAAAGACACAATTTCACTATTCTCAACACTGCTATAGTGTTATTCCAATATAAGCACCAGAGAAATAAAGCAATATATTTGTGATATTATTCCCAAAAGTCACTTTGACTATAAAACTAAAGTAAATTTCTCTTTATAATTGTAATAAAGGGTGTATTTAAGTGAACTTGATACTTAATGTAGTAATTTAATTATAATTAAAAACACTCCAACATGGTATAAGATAATTCAAAAAGGAGACAAAGATCATACAAAAGAGGTACAGTCTTTATAGACTTTCAAAATCCCTCTTCTACAGTCAAAACTACCCAAAAACCGTCAAAAACACCTAAAAACCACATGATTTATCTTTTGTAGTGTGATATTACTAATGATCTATGTGATTTACATAGCCAAACCTGTTGTAAATGTAATGTAAACGATGTACAGTAGCTCTTGTGATGTTTACAGTTTGCTGTGTTGATGTATTTAGGCTAAAAACCTAATTTGACTATTTTGACTATTTTCTACAGCCTGAATTTGGATGATTACATAATTGATTCATATTCTAATTGTGATTATGATCAATAATCAGTATTACATCATCATGTTTCCGTGCCTGAGTGATGAGTAATTGATGTGTAAAAGCTGTGTCAAGTAAATTTTCATGTTGTAAAGTGATATGTAAACCCGCATACATGTAGTTGTTCGAAGTTCACAACTAGAACTTAAATGTCTCATAACTTCTTTTACACAGCACCAATACTCTAGGTTTAAAGTTTGTACATTATCTAATTCTGTATGGCGCGTTGAACGAGCTATCTACCAACCTTATCTGACGTAATCTTGTATGTGTAAATGTAGCAAAACCCGTATTTTCGGTGTTTTTGGCCCATTTTCACCGCTTGTACACCTTTACACTTGATTCTCTTTGACTGTAATATGTTTAAGTAATAATTTCCAACCTTGAAGATCCCGGAAAACACCTTTACAACCTCAATT